TTAAATTTATGTTTTAAACAATGAAATGATATTAATATAGTTAAATTACTATGAAATGTCCCGAATTTATATTTGACAAGCCGACTGGTTTGGGGATAAAAAGAAAACAATTAATTGAGTAAGCAAATAAAAAACTTGAAATTGTTAAAAAGTAGCAAAAAAAATAAGAATAAAATATAACGAAATCAAAGAGAAGTCGAGAAATTTGGCGAATGATAAAGACCTCCTTTCAGTTGAAAAGAAAGAGACTCCAGAGTGTATGTGGCCAACTCTTTAGGGAGCTTAACTCGACGAGTAACAAGACAAATGCGACGGCTTTGAAGACAATATGTCTGGAATGAAGACTGTGTTGGAAGGTCTTGACTGGCTGCTAAGACTTATAAACAATCGAAGAACACTTATGAGAAGAAATTGACTGAGTAGAATGAGCAACTTGATCTTGAAAGAATAACTGCTCAACAGACTAAAACCCAGAAGAAGAAATACGCCGAGTAGCTTAGAGAAGTGATGGAGAAATAAAACGAATTCGGTGAATATAAAAAACAAGCTGAGAAATCTATCAACTCGTTGATTGCTCAAAAAGCTGATTTACAGAAGGAACTTGAAAAAGAGAGAGCAGTGAAACAACAAACCAAATTTAAAGACTTCAATTTAAAGTTATCGATTTGAAATCTAAATTGGCGGACGCTGGTGGAACTGGAGCTTTAATTGCTAAATCGAAAGCGAAATATGAAACAGAATTGGATGTAATTAAACCAGAGAAGGAAAAAACACAAAAACGCCGCTGCTTAAGGTTGAGAAGCAAACCAAAAAATACACTAGAGAGGTTGAAGAGGCCGAGAGAAAACTTGTAGAATTCGAACAGAAGGAAGCTACTTTTGACGCTCAAATAGGTAAGACACAAGCCGATTTGAAGAAGACACAACAATCAGTCAGAGACAATGAATTAAGAATTGCAGATAGTCTGGAGAATGTCTGAACAATAAATAGCTTTACGTTGATCAAGTAAGTGCTTAAAAAACTTTGAAATGAAGTGAAACACAAAAAACGAGGATTATTAATTTTTTTCATTATTATAGTTTTTTATATTAAAATCTGGTTTAAATACAAGAGTCTTGTTATTTATAAAATATTGTATTTTAATTATATTTTAATGGTTTGATTATGACTAGATGCCTCAAGTCTATTTAAGATAGACTCCAAGTTAGAGTCTATTGGTAGACTCTAATAATTCCACAAAGAAAAGCTTTAAGATAACAATTTCATATTTAGCGATGGATCTTACTGATGACACGAAAAAAGGTGATGTTCTATTTTTAATAAAGAACCAGGGTTTCTATACAAAATTGAAACAAATCGATAACTTCAATTTATATTTTATCATCAGAACTTAAAAAACATATAGAGTGGCAAGAAGAGAGGAAAGAAAGCAGAGAAAGCGGAGAAAAGAAGCGGCATTGTTTTGAGCGAGAAGGTAAGCGAGAAAAATAATAAGCTTCGTTATAAATCATTCAAATTTGTATTTTGTTTACTAAGCATGTTTTCGAACAATCTATAAATGGATTCTTGGTTCATATTTTTGTTTCAATTCGAAATTGGATTAACAAGTAGTACCCCTTCTTTCTTGTTTTCCATCTTGTCATGCATCTTCTAATTATAAATTGATGTTATTGTTATTATGTTTGATGTATTACAATTAATTAGTGCCCGACTTTTAGTAATTTTTTTATAATTAATTAATTATTAAATATTAGTTTTTAATTATGATCTTATTATTGTTTTCGTCAAATAGTTTATTTTTGTAATATTATTATAGTTATTATATAGTTTTTTGTTTTACTTACGATGGTTTTGGTATAGTTGTTTTATAATATTTTTATAGTTGTTGTATAGTGTTTAAAATTGTATGGTAATAGTTTAAGTGTGTTTGGTTGTAGCTTCGTTTATTAATCATGTTTCAGAGCGATTTCCCTGTTTGTTAAATATTTTACCATTGTTTTTCTTGTTATTGTTTGAGTCGGCAACTATTTCTATGTTTACTGATTTTTTTGAAGTATTGCATCGAACACGATTTATGTTTCATGGTATCTTGTTTATTTTTTTGTGTGTTGTTTATATTGTTTGTTTGAGTAATTGGTACTAAACACATCATTTTGTTTGCTGTTTTGAAAGATAAATTATCTATTTTATTATTTATAGATTTGTACGAAAGCTATATTTGTATTCATTTTGTTAACTTGTGTACCTTTTGCTCCGTTGAAGTTTTCAAAATGTGCTCCACCCGTTTTATTTGGATTTTTTAAGACCATTTGTTAACTTTTTCACTAATTTGATATTTGGAAGTGGTAATCAATTCATCCTAAAATTCAGAAAATCACAATAAAACCAACCTAATAATCTACACAGAAATGAAAAATGGTAAACCAAATAATTCTTTTTTTCTTCTTAAAAATGAGGCTTTTTTTCAAAAAATATGGTAAAAGAAGAAGAAAAATACACTAAAATTTATATGGGCGCAGTTTTGGGCAGCGGCACTCAATGAGTAAATTTTAAAAAACGCCTGATTGTGAACGAAATACATCCATAGAAACAAGTACTTGCCAATTTTGTGACACTTTTGGGTAAGGTGAGTGTTTTCAGGCGATAACAATCAACAAAACAGCCATATAATATTTTTATTACATTACTTGGTAACACAACACTTGTGAGAAAGATCCAATTAACAAACATACTCGAATGTAATTTGTCACAGTCACTCATTCTTATACACTCGTGGTAATATACACTCATATCTTCAGTTTCTAAGAATTTTAAATATCTAAGGTGGTGATCATCTGAAGTGTCAATAGTACGTGTTACACACATTTTACTCATTTCAAGCTTAACCACCCTCTCGTCTTGCCAACATAATTTTGAATCCCAAATGTACCCAAACTCCTTTATATCATCTTGCGTCAATTTAATGTTATTAAATAGATACCCAAGTGCTTTCAGCCGTAAATGACACTCGTAACTCACCACAAAAATGTTATTGTCTACTCCATTTGTATCAATTTTGGTCAAATTCTTGTTATTACAAAACAAGTATTTGTCTGCTTTTTCAAGTGTCGAAGGTAAAAATAATTCCTTTAAATCGGCAAGTTCTGAAACATAATTTGTTACATAAGTCACTCCATTTGGTATTATTAATTTGGTCAGTGTTTTGTCTTCTGTTAACTTTTGCACAATAATATCGTCACTTGCTGTGATGCTTTTTAAATCAAACGAAGTGCCGTTTTCAAACACTATTTTTGTTAATGAACGACACCCACTCACAAATCCATTTCCTATTTTGGTGACACTTTGTGGTATTACTAGTTCTTCGAGATATATTGACGAATTGAACGCGTTCTTGCTTATTTCAACTACAGTAATTGGCACCACAAATTTTCCATTACATCCATACCAAATGTTGTGATTTCTAATTTTAGTGATGGTAGTTGGAAACACAAAATTGTGAGTCAGATCAAACGAAAAATTGTTGTACATATCGATGCAATAATTCTCTGATATTTCAACTGGGTTCTCTGTTTGATTATAAATGTATTCCATATCAAAGTCCACAAGAGATGATGGGAAATACACCGTTTTAAGATAGTCTTTGTATTCAAAACATTGTCCACTGATTTTTTCCGCATCGCGTAAATCAAACACTTTACATTGTTCTAAATTGTACAACACAACTTCATTGCACTTTGAATTGGTCTTCACTTCATGCAATTTCTCGTCTGCAAGTTTTTCTTCGTCGTTGTTGTCTACTGGAGGGCTTTCATTATCAACATCAGTAACAACATCAAGTGCAGTATACCCAAATTTATTCATAAGTTTTTCTTCCTCTTTACTGATTGCAAATGTCAATTTACCAATAAAATTTGGGAATGTCAATGCACTTAATTTGGTACAATTAGTAAAAATTTTAATGTTATTTCCAAATAACACAAAATTTGGTGTTATCTGGGAAATTCAATTCTTTTATATTGGAACAATTATAAAATGCACGTGCATTGATACACAGAAGCTTATTTGGAATTACAAATTTGCTTAAAGAAGTGCACTTTTCAAAAGCGGATGTGTTGATAATTTGAAGTGATGATGGGACATTGATATCCTCAAGTTTTTCACAATGAAGAAACGCGTAACTTCCAATGACCTTTACAGTGGTGTCCATTTTCACACTTTTCAATAACAAACAATGGTCGCACACATGATCTGCTATGATTGATTGACCAACAAATTCAATGTGATTTAGATTGGAAAATTCAAATGCATAAAACGAAACACAAATATTTGGTGCAACAACAATGGACTCCATCCCACAGTCCGGACCAAAACAGTCACTTCCAAATGCAGTGATGGATGATGGTATTTTAACTTCTTTTAAAGACACACATTTTTTAAAAGTTTGTTCGGGGATGTGTTGAAGTGAAGATGGAAGTTCAACACGTGTTAAATTGGTGCATCCATCGAACACGCTATCGCCAAGAAACGTCACAGAATTTGGTATTTCAATTTCTCGGATATGTGCTGATGTAAAAGCCTTATTTAAAATAACTCGAATGTTATTTGGGATGGTTATCACTTCTTCCTCACAATTTTTAAAACAGTTGTTGTCAATACAACACACATTTTGGGGAATTGTGTTGCCATACTTTTTTCTGTCTTCTTTTGTGTATTTTACAAAAGGACAAATATTAAAATGTTTCTTCTCTTCTAAAAATTTGTCATAAGAAACAGGATAAAAGAATTCAAGTCGCTCAATATTTGTGTTTGTAAGTTTTACATCGAATGGAGTAAACAAATTTTGTGTTTGAATATTAGGAAATAAATTCATATTTTGTGGTGTTATTTGTATTGGGTTTATTCTAATTCTTTCAAGCACATACCGATACTTTTTTACATACACAAACAATATTAATAAAGTCGGTGGGATTCATTAAGTATTTTGTGACGATTTGCATAAAAAACACATCAATTCTGTTCATTACAATTACCAAGTTAAATATCAGTTTTGATTAAAAATCAATTGGTATGAGTTCGAGTAATTTTTAATTTTTTGAAGTTTAACATTTTTACACCGAATAATTTAATTTAAAATAATAATAATAGAATACTATTAACGATTATCAATTTTTATATTTAAAAACATTTTATCAAGTCGATTTAGTCTCCAAACTATTATTTCAAATTGTTTTATTTTGTGAGTGAACTTGAAAAACTTGGGTATGCATGTTTTTATAATTGTATTAAAGATAATATATTGCAATTTTCCAATAATACAATTAAAATCAAAGTCTTTTGCTTTGGCGTTTGTTTTTAGCTACTTACAATTTATATTAAAAATAACCAAATTCAACGAAATCGAAATCTATTGTATTATGATAAAATGTATCAAGTGGGTTTACATTAAAAAAACTTTATCATTGTTTTTAAGAATTAAATTAATTAAAGCTTAAGTTAATAATTTCAATATTATTAATATTTTGATTGTACTTGTTTAAAACTTACTTGTTGAGTGTATATTATTAACAGAAAATATATTAACTTATATATAAAAATTTAATAATGATGTTAATTGTTCATAACAATTTAAAAAAATAATATTAAACTTGTAGTGAATTAAAATATATTTTATTTCTTCTCCTCCTTCTTTTCAGTAGCAGCAGCCTTTGGTGCGGCTTCTTTTTGTGCAGCAGCAGCTCCCTTCTTTCCTCCCTTCTTTGGCATGTGTTTTAAATGAGTGATTTGAAAGTTGCTGTTTTTTCTTTTATAGAGTATATATTTTTGTGATATATGACAGCCGGGTTTTCTCTTACACAACAGGTGTATTGCGATGACAAACAGCTATTCTTTTCAATCAAAAATATTTATCCCACAAAATGTGATATGCCACAACTCAAGACATACTGTTTTATCTCACATTATATGTCTATCGTAGCATAAAAATGTTGAAATTTTTGCACAAAAATTTAAACTCGGCAGATCACACGATTTTTCATTAACATTCACTGCCACAACGCGCCACATCATTGTTGTAAATAGCACACCAAAAAACGAGCGGTGATGTGGCACCTGGGATTCCCGATTAATGGTATAATAATACGGGCTGGTAAACATCCACAATAACGATTGCTATATAAGAGGAAAGACGGTAACTTTTAAATCACTTGTTTAAAACACATGCCAAAGAAGGGAGGAAAGAAGGGAGCTGCTGCTGCACAAAAGGAAGCCGCACCAAAGGCTGCTGCCACTGAAAAGAAGGAGGAGAAGAAATAAATCCACTCTGTGAATTAATTCAGTTTTTGTGACTCGTCATTTGACACTTTTTATTTTTTTACACTTTGAAATATATAACAATTTTAATTAACAAATCTTAACAATTAGTTTATAAATTATAAATGTAAGCATTTACATCAATGACAAAACATAATTGTCACAAATATAATGAGCCGAGTGTTTAAATAATACACCAAACCATGGTTCGGTATTTTTTGACTTTCTGCACTGAATTTTTTGTTGGCAAATTTGAAATTGTTTTGTGTATTTTTAAACTCCCCAGATCCTTTGTTTACAAAACAAAAAACCGAACTATATAATTATAGTTTAAGTACTAGCATTTTTTCTTGTTGATATTAGTATATTTTATATATATATACTATAAATAATATTAAATTATATTAGTTTAATCTAAAGTTATATTACTAATAACTATTAAAATAAATTATAATTAATATAATAGTTTATGAATTTAAATATTAAATAAATAAATATTAGTTAAAATAAAGATACAGTCATGCGAA